CAGGGATTGGACGGGGACGAGCAACAAGACAAGAAAAAAGGGGAAATTTGGGTCTTGCTGTTAGTGCATCGTGTTGCTATGCGATGCCTTCCAATAACTGTTGTGTACCTGCACCCCAGACAACGCCATCGGCAGACGAACAGCCATGATTTACAACTGCAGACACTAAGGGGTTTCAATACGTGATGCTGCTGTACCTTACATACTTAGGTAAGCGTCATCAGATACTTGAGGATTGAGTTGCGTAGAAATGCATTTTCTGGCTGCTTATGCGCGTACAGCTTTCACCGGTTGTTCCTACTGTGTTTCGTGGGCGTCCGCCTGTGATGCCATCCCCTGTTGTTACCCCTGCTTCCGTGCGGCGTGCCTCGCATGGGGGGCCCTGGCGCCGTCGTGGCTGCGGATACATGTGGTGCTAACTCATCCCTTGGACGTACCGCGATACGTATCCCCGCCCTCTACCGGTCTCCATGCCCGTGCTCCCAACCTAGGTACTGGAAGGCACCACCACAGGATTCTCACTCAGGAACGTTCCTACCGTCTTGAGCGCGGGAGCGTGAGGTATCGAATGGAAGGTGCTTCCCATTTTTACGGTACTCATATCTCCGTATTAGCGTTGCGGTAGGTGCTAGACTCAACTCAGTCTATTCCTTCCGTCTCCACGATTGGTCCAATAACACCCTGTCCCAGTTGACAAGTGGAAAGTCACTTCTGAGTCCTGTCCCCCCAAGGGCCCCAAATGCCCCCCCTCTGGGAATTCAATCCAATCCAATTCAATCCAACTGCACCATTGCACTGTTGCACTGTTGCACTACAACCAGTTCCAGCCAAAGGCGACTCAAGTGCATTGCTTCTTTCCCTCTTTCGTCTCCCGTTCATCCTCTTTCGCCTGCCTCCCCCGGCCGTTTTGGCACCTGCTCATCACCTCCCCCTCGTATCCGATTCTGGGGGGAAACAGAGATCGCTTCCATTCTTTCTTTCCCGCTTCTCGTCTCGCTTCCTCTCGACCTTTTCTCTTTTTTCCCCCCTTCCCTCTCAGGCTTCCTCTCCCCTCCTCGTGTCCGTGTTCCATCATCTGTTCCTCGCGACAGATCGGGACGAGTTCTCAGCACAGGCGTCGACAAGAACCGTTTCCAGCTGCTCTCGGCCTGAGACGTCTTGCTACCTACCTCACATAGCACCAAGCACCGGCCGGCCAGTTTGACTTAACCTTAGGTTACCTCAGGTTGTCTCTTGATACCCTCGCATCCTCTTCTTCTTCTTCCAACACTCTTTTCGTCTTTCGACCTTCCCTCTTGGCTGCTGCGCCTTCTTTGTTATCCGCCAGACCGCAGTGCCTAAAACGGACGCCCGCCTCCCGCTAGTGCGTACTCTGCTTGGATTCTAAGAAAGAACACTCTACGGATCCTCGAACCTGTTTATCCATCTGCAACACAGACTGAAAGGAAAGGTCCCAAAAACGACACCGGTTTCCAAAATAGTCGACCTCAGATTTCATTTCTGCTTCGTCCTCCGCCAATCTTTAACCTGTATCAAGATTTTCTCCCGTTTTCGGGCGTCTAACCAATCCTGACCTCATTGTTCATATGCGCGGTTGGTAGCATTCTCGGCAGCCACACCATCAGCCGACCATCGACCTGTTTTTCGACCTCTATGTGGCATCCTCCATTCTAGACTGACGCCATAACCGATCCTTCGGCTAAGACACGACCTGCACCGCCAGGATTCCAACCACCGACCACTTCTTAGGCTCGCTCGATCGTTCATCCTATCTGTTGTCGACTCCCCCAACTCACACGAGACCTGCAAAACAGCTGCGTCGCATTGCATGGGAACTCAAAGCAATACGCGATCCGAAATCGACCGACCATGTCGCCGCAACGCCCAAACTTCATCGATCTTCGGGCGCCCTCGAGCATGTCTAACGTTTCGAGACCTTTGCGATCCCCCAGACTCCACGTCGCAGGCGAGGCACCCCCCGAATTGTCACCTCTCGATGCCTTCGCTCTTCAGAGTCGCCTGTTGGCGAGACAGCTCCAAGCTGCCGCGAGCGGCGAAGGAAGGCGCATGAGCAGACTACCACCTTTGACAACCGAAAGTCCTTTGGTCGTACAGGGCCGATCAGACTACTTCCGCTCCATGTCGAATGATTCAGGATCCGACGAGATGCCACTTCCTGAGCTTCAAAACCCAGGATTGGGACTTAGAACCGAGGTCGAGGACGCTTTCCCGTCTGAGAAAGATCGTCCTGTTTCGGTGCACCCTCGAATGAGTCGCATTCCACCCACTCCCGACGAGAACGAACCTCTCCCAACGCCGTTGCCCGATATGATGCGTGGACGAGTGCTGGATTCGATGGAGGAGCATCAGGACGAGACATACTTTGGCGCAAGAAGAGAGCAGTCCCCAGCGCCCATGGAACACCCCACGAACGGCTCTAACTTGCAAGCGTCTCCTCCACGAAAAGACCATTCACTACCTCTGCTCTCACCAGCACGGTCCCGCGAAAACTCACTGAATGGATCGCCCGGCAAGTCAAAAGGACACTCATTTGATGGACCTGGCTTGGCTCCTCCGCGACCGAGCTTCACAGCACGACCGGCGACTTCCATGTCTTCTCCCCTTGAAAATACTAGCGACGACATGAGCAACTCTGTTCAATCGTTGCCGCCGCGCAAACTTTCGAGTTGCAGCGCTTATGCGGTGTCAACAGCGTCACCCAACTTGAACCCAGGCCCTTTTCAACGCTCACCTTCCGTGTGCTCTGACGCCTCAATGCCATTGCCACGACCCTCCTTCAACTTTTCGAGGCCCATGAGCCGAGCCGGCACACCTGGATTAGAGACGCCAACGCGTCAGGCCTCATCTGACAGCCAACCGTCATTCATGTTTGCGAACGACGACTCTGCCAACACTCCTGTCAGCATGAACAGCGAAGGCTTTCCCGACCATGTGCACGACGATGGCAAGGCCGCCCCTTCGTATATTTATTCCAAGTACTCACTTCCTCGAGGCAAGATTGTTCAGCGATCTGTTCCTCTCGATCCTCACCCGCAAGCTTCCTTCCAGTGGGAGCAACCCGTAACTGCACCCAGCAACGTGCAGGCTATCCAACGCGGAGCACCTCCATCTCCACCAACTCGGCCGTCTAGCTCAGCAGAGCCCGATAACCTCAGCTTGGGCAAACCTTCATTCGAGCAAGGAAAGCGCAGTCTCGATCGCGGTGGTCCGGCCCCACAGCCATCTCCCAATCCCAGCCGTCCATCGACCGAGAGCAGGGCTTCAGAGGAGGATTCTCGGGGTCGTGCCCTTATTTCTCAGGCCCACGATACCGCTGCTCGTGGCCAGACTGCCATGTCAACTACTACCAGCGATTCCAACAGCACTGTCAAGGCGACTCGCTCATTGGCGTCAGGTGCCCCCACGGCTTCAGACATGTCTCCGGAGGAGCACCTAGCCAAGGGCATTGAATGCCATGAGAATGGCTCAGTGAAGGAATCCACGTACCATCTTCGCCATGCAGCAAAGGGAGGCAACCCAACGGGTATGCTTCTGTATGCGCTGGCATGCAGACACGGCTGGGGTATGCGGCCCAACCAGCGGGAGGGTGTTGAGTGGCTGCGAAAAGCAGCTGAATGCGCCAGCCTTGAAATTGCTGATGACGAGGACCATGTTAAGGAAGGAAAGTTCGTGGACGCCATGGAGCGAAGAACTCGTAAGGCACAGTTCGCACTGAGCATCTATGAGCTGGGTGTGAGCCATATGAATGGATGGGGCATTGAGCAGGACAAGGCTCTTGCCCTGAGATGCTTTGAGATTGCCGGATGTAAGTTGAGATTGCATCTTCTTGACGGATCCATTAAGCTAATGGTGTGAATAGCTTGGGGCGATGTAGATGCACTAGCCGAAGCAGGCTTTTGCTACGCTCAAGGAGTTGGCTGCAAGAAGAACCTTAAGAAGGCCGCTGGCTTTTATAGACAAGCCGAGTCTAAAGGGATGAACATGGTCGGCAACAGCTGGTATGTTCTACATATAACCCTTCAAGGGAACGGAATATCAGTACTGACGAGCGCCATCACAGGATTCACAAGTCAAAGTACAATGATGAAGACAAGCCTGCCAAAAGTGCCCGCAGCAAGTCGAGGACGCGCACCATGTTCGGCATTAAGACTGGCTAGCGATGAGTCTTTTTGAAGTTCTTTTTGCGCGGAGCGTCTAGCGGCATTTCATGGATCATGACCACTTGCATCAACACATCACCTTCATACCCCGCATCTTCGGAGTTTCGGAAGACTGGCTCTGCGGAGTGCAGCTGTTTTTACTGGGCATTTAAAACTCAGAGGCTAGGAATTGTGCCATTTTCTGTATTCAACGAGGTCTCAAAAGCGTGACCTAAGGGAGAGGGGACAAGAACGCCCCTCCCTACTTTGTTCTAACAACGTGTGCGAGGGATTTGGGTCTCGGGGGGACCCTGGGATTGTGACAAAGGGACAAAAAAGTGATGGATCCTTTCTGCGTGTCCAGACTTTGATCGGACATACCCTTGATTCCTATGTATATACCACTTTTGTCTTTTTTTGTTCCGGGAGGGAAGCAATGGATTTGCTCCCTTCATAGGGATTCCTTTTGTCATACAAAATATGTCTGTCTGCCCAGCTGCGGTAGTGCAGCCAATGAATCAAAATCAAACTGGGAAGCAACCGCTTTGGACCGATATAAAGTGCCGACAACAGGTCAAATAGCCGCACTGTGTTAAGACTCATAGATGTTGCCCAACCCTTAGGTGAGCATCACACAGCGACTAATGAAGCCACTCTTGGTAGATTATCAGCGTTGTTGCACGTCAAGGTAGGGATGGAAATCTGGCAATTGGGGGGAACGGTTTGCGTCAGTCTCGTCTATTGCCATCATTGTATTGGTACAGAATCTTCCTGCTATGGAAGCACTTCATTTAGCACGTCCCAAGAGCCCCCACCGATTGCCTCGTAAACATCATGCATCTAGGTATCAACCTCCATCGCTTCACCGGCCGGCACCTCCGTTACGCTCACGTAGCGGCCAATCTCGTTCTTCTTGATAATCTTCTCGTTGAGCACGGCCGTGGTGCCCTTCTGGAAGGCGTAGCTCTTGAGCTTGGCGCTACGCTCGTTGGGCTTGACGAAGCCGCGCTTGAGGGTGGTCTTGTCCTTTGTGATGATGGCGACGTCGACGTTGCTTCCGGAGCCGAGATCGTTAAAGATACCGGCCTGGATGGCCTCGCTGGCGAGCTTGACGGCCTCGTCCTGGGTCAGGGACGGCTTCCACTGGGTCTCGAAGACGGACATGGCGGCCAGGGAGCCGGAGCCCATGGTGACGTAGGGGAGCTTGTCGGTGGAACCGTGGGCGTGGACAGTGAAGAGGTGGGTTCCCGTGGGGTCGACGCCGGCGACGACGAGGTAAGCGCCAATGTGGCCCTGGTACTGGAAGAGGTGCTGCTTGAGCATGGTCATGCAGGTGACGACGCGGGGCTTGCGGCCCGTGGAGAGGGCGTGGAGCTCGAGGTTGGAGGATATGATCGCCGTGGTGAACTCGGTGTCGGCGGCGGTACCGGCTCCTGCACACCAAATCTGAGGGGCGATGTAGTGCAGCTTTTCGCAGTTCTTGTCGGCGACGATGGGGCCCGAGGTTGCTCTTGTATCGGCGGCAATCTAAAGTGCACATCGCTCTGTCAGCTGCTGTGGCAGAAGGAGAGGGATGCTATCGGGAGGGAAGAGAGAGGGGGAGGGGGGGAACCAGGCGAATCCTGTAGGTTGCCATCGTTGCTCAAAGGTGTGAATCGAATGGGGTTACTGACCACAACACCGCCGTCAAATATGCATCCCACAATGGTGGTACCTGTGCTCGTCGCCTTAGGGAGAGGGACACCTCGGGCGTGGAGGGCCGCATTGCGGTTGTAGTTTGAGAAGTCGAAGCCGGGCATCGTTGCTGCTGCCTTGTCTGAAAACCCCAATCGCTATCCTATGTGTCTTCAAAAACAGTCGATTTCGTTCAAAAGCTTTGTGATCGTCAGTCGTGACCGTCGGAGTTGGGTTCGGGGAGGAGTCGTCGAGAGGTCAGGTGGGAATTGAGTGAGGTTGAAGGTGGACGCGGTAAACGGTAGGGTAGAGCTGGATGACGAGGCTAAAAGCTGCCTTCGATGGTCGTTGCCGCTGTTTGGGGGGGGGGGGGGCCTGGGAGCTCCTGCACGCCTGCAAGGCACCCTGACATTCGACGGAGCTTGCCAGAGACAGCAATGATTGGACACAGAGAGCCACAGGTCTGAACTAAACCGAAGCTCACCGCACGTGACTCAGATTTTGGGAGGGATTGGCAGACGACCGGCCGGGGAACGGGGGACGGGCCAAGCAGAGAGCTGGGAATTTTTAGGTAGCCATTCCTCAAAAAAGAGTCCCAGGCCAAAAGACCAGCAGAAGGTGCAAGATTCTTTTACGCATTTCGACTGGCGCCTCTCTCTCTACTTTGCACCCAATTGCATCGCGTTTCCACGTGTGAGACGACATAATACTTATTTTCTCCCAAATTTGAGGTCATTATCCAGGCTTCATCGAGCTTTTTTCCTTCTCTTTATCCTATTGCTGCCAGTTGCGACAGCAGCAACATAGCCAAACCTCGTGGCTCGAGCAACAACAACCTCAGCTGACTGCAGCGCGAGGCCCCTTAACAACAGCAGGAAATAGAGGAGGGGCAACAAGAAGACGAAAAAGAAAAGAAGCACAAGGGGGAAACTCTTATCAACAAACGCGACCCCTCCAGCGAATGCGAAGGACCACCCTGACTTACACGTCCTCCCTCCACAAGCCGGTTACGTCGCAATAGTCATGGCTTTCAGCTTCGCGAACCAAGGAAGTGCCACGGCCGGAGGAGGAGGAGGACTGACTCAAGGCCCCGAGCTGGAGGTGATCCAGACCGAGGTGAGATCTGGTCACCGACACCGTCGATGCCGCTGTCTTTTGAAAGTTCGAGGCTCACCATGTAAATCTATTCAGGCGCTTGGTTTCAAGTCGATTGCAGGCGACGCGAAGCTCCGACTCACACCCGCCTGGTCCCCGCCGCCCGCCGATACCGCCTCGCTCATCAGCATTGCCTCCCGCCGAGGCCTCGTCGCCGCCGCCGGACCCGACGGTATCACCATCACCTCAACCGACTCGGTGCGCAAGGGCTTCGAGAGCGAAAAGGAGGGCGATTCCGATGTCCGCGCCTTCCAGCCGCAGGGCAAGCTGCCCATGCCTATGAGGGTGTCGCAGCTCGCCTTCAGCGCCGACGAGAACTACCTGATCCTCTCCGCCGAGAGCGGAGGCGGCCTCGCGGTATACGAGGTCGAAAGCCTGCTCCAGGGTGCCACGAAAGCTGCGTTCGAGCTTGCGACGAACGGCGAGACGCTGAGGGCGCTCTTCCCGAACCCCACGATCGAGAAGGCGGAACTGTGCGCCATTGTGACGAATAACGGCAACCTGCACATGGCGAACCTGAAGGAGAGGTCAGTCAGTAACGTTCTGAAGGCACAGGTTAGCTGTATAAGCTGGAGTACAAAGGGAAAGCAGCTGGTGGCCGGCTTGGCGGACGGGACCATTTTCCAAATGACTCCTGAGGGTGAAGCCAAGGGCGAGATCCCGCGGCCACCAAACGTGTCGGATGCTCACGGTAGGTCCTCGAGCTGGCGGAACGCGCAACTATGCCGAACTAACTGACTACAGTATCTTCTCTGACTTGGCTGGAAAATCACCTGTTTCTCGCCATCCACACATCAACTTCGGAGTCCCCGCCAAGTTCAGTATACCATCTCATTACCAGAAAGCTGCCATCAGATTTCACTTTCCAGAAGTTGAATGACCCCGTCGACCCATTTGGCGCCGAAAAGCCGCCTCATCACTCAATATTGAGGCTCAAGGAATTCCCTCCCAACCTTTCAGATCTCCTCATCGTAGCATCAACCGTCTCCCCAGACATCGGCCTTCTCAGCCGGGCGAAATCACCCCTGACTTCTGATCATCCAGTCGACACCGCCGGCGTCTTTACCACAACAGAATTGGCCGATGACTCGAAACGTGCCTCTCTGCCCATGAATGACAGCTACGAGAACACCATCCCCATCGGTGTCGCCCTTGATCTCTCAGCCAAGGACAAGGTATACAAGCCCTTGCCCGCCGATGAGGAGATTGAGGATTCTCCGGGCCCAGTGCCGGGTTTGTGGGTGCTGAACAATGAGGGTGTCCTCAGTTCATGGTGGATTATTTACGAGGACTCCATCAGGCAGGGCACGACGTACCCTGGTATGGCCGCGCTTGATACTTCCGCGCCCCCTGCCGGCGCATCCACCTCGACACCAGCAGCAGCACCGGCACCGGCCCCGGCTTCGAATACATCAGCATTCGGCGCTCCTTCGAGCACCCCGGCCTTTGGTTCAGCATCCGCGTTGGGCTCAGGCCAAAAGGCCTCACCGTTCGGTTCTAGCGGATCCAAGATCCCTACATTTGGTGGCTCGTCAGCCCTGGGTTCTAAGGCTTCACCATGGGGCGCTGCGACGACGTCTTCCGCCGCTCCCGCAGCCTCTGGTTCTACGTTTGGCAGCGGTAGCCCCTTTGGTGGCAGCTCAGCTACATCAGGCTCTCCTTTTGCTCAGGCCTCGGCAACAAAATCAGCGTTCGGCACTGGCGGCTCTTTCGGAAGCCCTTCCGCTACAACTCCAGCTGCAAACAAGTCAGCGTTTGGCAGTGGTAGTACCTTTGGGGCCCCTTCCGCTGCTTCATCGGATGCACCCAAGTCGGCATTTGGTAGCGGAAGCGCGTTCGGGACTCCCTCTGCTACTCCATCAGATGCACCCAAGTCGGCATTTGGTAGCGGAAGCGCATTTGGGACACCCTCCGCGACTCCATCAGCTGCACCCAAGTCAGCGTTCGGCAGTGGCAACGCCTTTGGGACACCAGCTGCTTCAGCAGGCCCGGCGTTTGGCCAGCCTTCATCAGTTGGTTTTGGTCAGTCGTCATCGCTTGGACAGAAGTCATCTCCATGGGCCTCAGGCGGAGCATCTGGTGTGAACACGTCTGCGTCACCGGCGTTCGGCCAGCCCAGCAGCTTCGGAACATCCGAGAATAAGAGTGTGTTCGGCGGCGGATCAGCAGCTAAACCTGCTTCTGCGTCTGGGGGGTTCTCTAGCTTTGCTAGCTCTGGTGGCTTTGGTTCTCTTGGGAATAAGGCCAACGAGGGTGGGAGTGTTTTCTCCAGTAAGCCTTCATCAAGTCCATTCGGCTCTGGGGGTCAATTGGGCACGGCTTCTAAGGATACAGCGTTCCCTCCACCGAGCTCGACTGGCCCGGCGACTAGCAATCCCTTCAGCCAGCCCTTCAAACTGGGGACCACTTTCGAGGCAGATCCCTCTGCCAAGGACGATGATGAGAAGCCTTCTACCCCTGGCGGCTCCTCTCTATTTGGCAGCAATTTCGGCTCTGCACTTGGAAGCGCCGTGACGAAGACTCCTCCCAAGGAAACGACCACGGAACCGAACGAAGAGACACCAAAGCCCAAATCGGTCTTCAGCCTAGGCCAATCCACAACGCCTAAAGAAACTCCAGCGCCTTCCAAGTTTGGTTTCCCACCAACTTCAACATCAGCCCCCAAGAGCGGCTTGTTTGGATTCCCTTCTCAACCAGCAACTGGAGGTTTGTTTGGTTCTGCGAAGCCGGCAGAGAAGACACCCGAGGTCAAGGCCGAGTCCAGCACTCCTCTGCCCCCTGATACGACAAGCAAAAACTCATATCCTCTTGGTGATTCCTCGTCTTCTTCGGGCACCGGAAATGTTCCTTCAGACGGTGGAAGTAAGGCTTCACCTCAAGTGGACAATGCGCCTCTGCCTCCTGATTTCCTTACTACGCCAAAGGCAACGTCAACGAAGGCAGCCAACGCTGCTCCGCTACCACCGGATTTCCTCAAGCCTTCAAAGCCACAGGGAAGCACTACCCCGGCCGACGAGGCTCCTCTCCCACCCGACTTCCTCACGCCCAAGCCTGGCAAGACTGCAGTGTCCGCCACGCCTTCGGCGGCGCTTCCTTTGCCAGCAGACGATCAGTCCTCGCCCGAGGAGCTTGAACGGCCGAAGTCGACTGCACCTGCTACGGCTCCGGACTTCCTTAAGATGCCCAAGCAATCTTTATCGTCGGCAACGTGGTCGTCTACCCCTCAGAACACCACACCTGCAGTGAACGATGCCCCGTTGCCGCCAGACTTCCTCGCTAAGCCCAAAGAGCCTGTCTTCGCCTCCATTCCGACTGTACCTGATAGTGAGCATGACACCGATCTGGAAGACGAGGATGACGATGATGAGTCTGAGGGCAGCGGCGTCATTGTCTCCAAGGATCAAAGTCCATCCATGACAGCGATGACCCCTACGGCGGGCATGACCCCGCAAAGCTCGTTTGGTGGCGTTAGCAGCAGCACCTACTCGGTTCCACGGACAGAGGAAGAGAGACCGCGGGCATCGTTGTTTGGCGACCTGAGCCGCAATGCTCCCATGTTTCCCCGACCGTCCCAAACCAGCCCTCGCTCTCCCAGCCCAGTCCGTGGCGCTGTGCCAGGCCGCATCATGCGTCAGGAGTCTGCTCGTTCGGTTAGTGCCCCGGGCATGGCATCTCAGATTCTTGCGGCCCAGAAAAAGCAGCCTCCGCAAATGGGGTCATCCATTGTCGGGAACAAATCCAACGATGATCACTTCATTGCTCAGCAAAGACTTGCGCGCCAAAGGCGGCAGGCCGAGGAGACCAGGGCACTGGAGGACGAGGAGGACGATGAGATTCAGAAGATTCTTGCCTCTAAGATCGAACCCACACTGAAGCTGGATGACTTCATCGCCCACTCAAACGTTGTACCGTCAGCCAAGGAGACCATCCCGGCCCAGGTGGAGGCAGTGTATCGCGACATCAACTCGATGATCGACACCCTTGGTCTGAATGCTCGCTCTCTTGCCAGCTTTCTCATGGGGCACGACATCGGATTCAAAGCCGGAGGCCGACACAAGCAAGACCTCGAGAACCCAGATAGCTGGGTTCTTTGCGAGATTGATGAGCTCGGAGAAGTCGTTGACAGATCTTTGGCTCAGGACCTCGAGGATGGTCGTGTTCACGACGTTGAAGAAAAGCTTGAAGCGTGCAATGAGCTCGCTCGCGAGATGTCTCGCCTCCGATCAAAGCAAGATGACCTTAAGAAGATTATCATGGTTAAGACGGACCCCGATCAAGCCGACATCAGCCGCTCTCTGCCTCTGAGCACCGAGCAGGCAAGTCAGCAGAACGAGCTGCGTCGCGGATACACAAACTTCACCAAGCTTCTTGCCGAAGCCGAGGAAGCCTTGACGATCCTGAAGACTAGAATCGCCGCCGCGAACAGCGCATCTGGAAAGGGCAACTCCAACATGCCTACCGTCGAAGCCGTCATGCGAACCATTGGCAAGATGACTAGCATGGTGGAGAAGCGATCCGGCGACATCGACGTCCTCGAGAACCAGATGCGCAAGCTCCGCTTCTCGTCGGTCAACAGCCGCGAGGGCTCCCCGATGGTCACGCCCCAGAGGAACAGCCGATCCATCCTCTTCTCGCCCGAGCGATCAGCCATAATGGCGTCGCCCGGCACCCTGCGCAACTCCATGGTGTCCTCCGTGGCCTCGTACGGCGGCCGTGGCGGCACGGGCACGCCTCCGCGCAAGAAGCTGAGCGGGTTCAGCGGGGAGGAGAAGTCGGAGTTGATGGCGAAGCGGGCCAAGCGCCAGGCTGTGCTGAACAAGCTCAAGGCTAATGTCGAGAGGGCGGGCGTGAGCGCGTGGGCGATGGAGGATATTGAATGATGGATTCGATGGTAAAGGGGGCTGGGGCTAGTGAGTATTTATTGGCCCCGATCCACGGGTTTAGGAGTTTCGGAATGCAACACGGGGCATATGGAATAGTGAAGCGGAGATAGTGTATGGCATAATGTACAAAAATCAAACATTCATACTGGAGTTCTGTGATGAAGATTGTGACTTGTTTGAGTTGATTTGCTGGGGCTGGAAGGCATCAACCTTTACATATGTGACCCGTCCGTTCATGCCCATTTTCACCTTGGGCCAGATCCCCGAACGAGCCTTCTGTTCCCTCTTTTCTTTCCAAGGTCGACATCGAGTTCTTTTTGAAACGTCTCATCGTTGGAAAGTCGTGTCGTACCCAGGAACAGTGGATAAGCCACGTCCACAAGTCTTTCGACATTTCTCATGATGTTTAGCTTTCGCATCCTACTGCACCCACTTAGGTTCTTTTTTTCCCCTTTTGCGTTTTCCTACAACCCAATCTCATTCTAATCTAAATATCTACAACTCACAGGAAAGTCCCCATTGTGCAGTAGAATCGGAGAACGCTGGAAACCAAACCGGCCACAAAGTGCAGGCCCGACAGAGATCTTCGGAAGATCACCTCCCTCGGCCGGAGGGCCCCAGTTCGTGGTACCGAAGCGGCATTTCTGCCGAAGGTGGACGGAAGATATCCCGGTTGCGGGATATCGGGACGGGGGTGGGAGCGGTCCCCATGGATCCGCTTCGTGTCAATGAATGAATGCCCTTGACGTCACTTCTTTAAAAGTGACCCTGAAGACCTTTGGGACAGAAACGTTGTCGACGCCAGTGAGAATATCCTGGACCCTTTGCATCAGGGTCTCTACATAGTGAATTTGGTCAAGAAACTAGCTGTCCTCTTGGAAGTCTCACACGAACCAGATACCCTGAATAATGGGCGGGATATCGAAGTCAGGGAACATGGCAATATATTAGGGCAGGCTTTCTTTCCCCGGATTTCCACGAATCGCACAGTCCACATCATAGATAGAGCAAGATAGGCTAGGTTTGTCAATACCATTCCATAGAGGTATTGAAAGCATGTCACCGATTCCTGTGGCAATGCGTCTAGCGCGGCACAAATGGGTGAAATGGGACTCGGAAAGCTTTGGGACTGCTTTCACAGCAAGACATTTGGACTAGGACTGGGGACAAGCCGCGGGCAGCTTATGAAGAGGGAGCCGAATGGAAGTTGTGCAAAAACCATTGAATACCGTCGCTGAGCCATGTCTTTTGAAAACACCTGACATTAATGCCGCCCGATCTACCGTTCGTCGTTATCGCGTTTGTGTAGCCGGCCAGCACATCAAGTTGTTGATTTTTTTTTCATTTCCCCGTCCTCGAGCCCCCGACAGTAATGGCTACTCTTCGCGACCCGTACACAAACGTCTCTTCCATTCTTTTTTGTCGAATCACGCAGAATTCATATTCCCATGTCTCGATGAAGTAAAAAGGGGGGAGAGGGTTCTCGGCGGGTGGTGCGTTTCGCCCTTCATGCGTGGTTGTTTGACGAGTTTGATTTGATGCCTTTTTTTTTTTAGCAAGCAAGGCACTGTGCTCTTGCCCTTGCCTGGACCGATGCAACCAATTCAGAATCCATCCTCAAATACCAACTCCGTCCGATGATGAGTCCGTTTTTTAAATCGACGAGGGGTAGAGCATCACGCGAACGGATGCGCCGAAAGAGCGGGTGGGGAGGGGGTTGGAGAACTTGGCGCGGACGACGCCAGAGTTGCCTATTTCCTAGTATTAGTTGGGGGCTCGTTTTCGTAGGGGAAACTGTTCGATCGGAGGAGGCTGTATTTACCGTGAGGGCGGGTGACCTTGCCCCAGATGACGCGGATCTTGGAACCGCGGATCTCCTTCTGGGCCTTGTAGACGTAGGCGATCTTCTTGCCGAGGTAGAAGCTGCTCTCATATTAGCCACCGTTCGTATTGGGCGTTGTGAAAGGGGGGAGGCGCGGATTGGGTGACATACTTGGCGGCGTTGGTGTCGTCAACTCCCTCGATCTTGATCAGACTCGTCTTGGAGTGGGTGACGTGACGGCTACGCTGGTAGCTGAGGTGACGTCCCCTGAAATGCTTGTTAGTTTCGATTCATTCGGTTTGAAGTACATTTCGTCGCGCAAAGTTCGGGTCGCTGAGGCATCGTTTGTCTAGGTGCTGGGCGAAGTCGTATTGATCCACGAGTTGCGTCGTCGGTTCCGATGGGTAGAAATTCGATTGGGTGTAACTTACTTGACGTATACTGCAAAGAATCATGTCAGTCCAAGTTCCACCATATTGAAATATCACAATGTGGCACCTTCAGAGTGCGCGATGATTGACCCTATTCAAAGGGTTCAAGGCAATGCGCGGCTCTGTTCACCATGGCAAATTTTCGCAGCAGGAGGATTGGACATGGAATTACTCACATCTGTGACCGGCTTCCGAAGGCATTTTGGCGGTGGTTAGTATGTCGACGCTCCAACCAAAGGGACTCGAGAAAGGAAGGCAGAGGATTGTCGATGGACTAATACTCCGGGCGCTCGTCGTGGGTTGGCGATTTCGGTATGTTCGCTACGGGGGCCGATAGCCAATTTCGAATTTCGTCGGCGCACAATTAGGGCTGCGGAGGCACGTGAGATGACTAAGGTGAGATGCAGACTCCACCCCACCTGCACTTCACTTCAATCCATTTTTGAGATAAGATAAGGTGAGCCATTGTGGCTTCGATCCACTGGTGAGGCGCAGTCGGCCTTCCTTCCTTCCACGTCCCGTCCGGGCGTTTCCAAATTTACCATTCCATGGATTTGTGTTTCTCGGCCAACTCGGTGTCAATCCCGCCCAGCTGCCGACCCGGGCTCCAGTCTGGCCTGGACGCGTCTTTGCCGCTTTTCAGCCCACACCGACTTCCCTCGCACCTTCATTCGCCCGAAGCCTTGCAGCCGCGGCGGATAAGACTATGTCGTCGCAGGAGAAAATCCGTCAATGACAAATGCAATGATGCACCGCAACGTCCATTTGTGTGTGAGCCTCACCGGAGCTCCTCAGCAAAGGACTGGTTACATCCCGCTGGCAGTTGCCGGGGGGAGTTGCCAAAGTGAAGGTTGGCCGTAACCGGTCACCTATAACAACTTTCGATACGGATAGAGAGTGGCAAACTCGGAAACAGATGTGCGGCTTGACCGGAGTTCCAGGATATTTCAGGCCATCCGTTGGAGCTTGGACGGCCGAATCCGCGGAGTTGTGAGACAGTTGCAGGGCGGCCTTTCCTGGCAGTCCGACGTCCCAAGTATAAACCACCACCCAGGTCCCAAAATCTCGCGGGATTTCCTGAACTGGATCGGCGTCTCTTTGGTGCAAATAAGAAGAAGAGGAGGGGGGGGGAAAGGGGAGAGACAAAAGTCTGATGGCCATGCAGGAAATGTCTCAGTATCTTCCACTATTGAAGCGTCAATCGAACTACGGATAATACCACGCAACCTACCAGGAATTTCGGACCTTTTGAATTAGAACCGACGAAGACCGAACCGTGGGGGGCCAACCCAAGAGCGATTCCGGAGATGCTTCCAAATGTCCAGGCGGCGGCCGTGGTAATAAATGTCCGGCACAGGTTGAGCCGCCAGCTTCAACGATTGGAACGCCTCAAAGGGTGGGCTTGCGGCAATTTCTGGCCGCCAAACTCTGCCGATTGCCCAGCAGCTCTGCAGCAGAGCTTCATGCCACAGTTGCATTGGCCGGACCGACAGCGGGATGGAGTTGTGGCAGCTGGCATGGAGCCTTCCACGGGGGTGACAAAATCATCCGCCGGTCCTCTCAAGCTCTCTCTTTCTACCCAAGGCCTATTCAGCACTAAATAAGTCAGGATACCTCAGAAAAGACTACTTACTAAGAGAGAACTAACTAGGGGAGCGATGAGAAGAGCTGAGAAGGGGAAGGCAAAAGAAGGGAAGAAAATGCACCACAGGCATATCCGCCTGCCCTGCACCAGCGACAGGTATGACTCTCCAATGCAACTGGGCCCGACGCGGCGACGATACAGGTCAGAGTCTAACAGGTCTGGCTACCTTACGGAGCACCGTTTCACACAGGCTGGCGACCCACGCTTTCCACAGCTTCCTAGAATCCGCCCTCGCTTCTCAACTACCCAGGCCGATCTCATAAGCAGCAAAGTCCGATCGGGAGCCTCGGTGGTGTCCGGCGTTTGGAAGAGAGGGACTGGGAGTACCGCCGCATCAGTTGGGGCCGGAGATGGAGCCCAAGCCAAGATCCAAATGTTCAATCATCAATGCTGGGCAGTCTTGCATTCTTACTGGTGTTGGACCCTTTTTGGGGCCCTGGCTATCTGAGGTCATATGTGTGGATGCTGTGTTGACTTGGTGACTGAGTTGGGGTGGTTGATTGACGTATACCAGGTACCCAAGGGCCGCGAATCCCGCACGTCTGCGCGGTGCATTGAAGCAAAGTGTGTGCTGGTGGGCTGGAGTTGCAGCGGCAGGGCTCTGGATCTTTTTTTTTAATGTTTTCCCATTTTCCTCTGATGTTTTGTGTTTCTGGAGCTCCGGTGCGCTCTGACAGGCGTTGGTCCAACATTTCTGCTGCAGCTTGCATATGGAGGCACCTTAGCTCCTCTTCAGTCGAGGTACCCGATCTGCTCGAGAATCTTTTTTTCCCTTCTCTTCGGGCAGGGGTCTGGCATGTACAGTACCTGCTGCTATTCTCACTCACCCCTGGGTCTTTGAGAGTCAAAGAATGGTGTCCCGAACCGACGGAATAGAATAGCGACGCTTGCATACCTAGGTACTACACGATGTTTGCTCTACTGCCTATGGAGAACCTTGGTGTCCTTTACTCTGGAGTTCAGATGCGGCAGAGAGACACTCGCCAGTCCACTTACAAGTTAGTGGGAGGGATTGGCTTTGTACTGGGAACCCAATTGCCCACCATCTCGTCTTTGATGCCGTCAGCGCGCCGGACCAAATCAAGGTGGCATGGGCGTG